TATGAGGGCGTAGTTTTGGAGATAGAGTTGATTGGGCACGTACAAACTGGGATCGAAATGGGTTCTATCTAGGGCAGGTGGCATGTTTTTTGTGCTTTTTTTGTTCACAGTCGAGTTACTCAACCCCTTGTCGTCTATATGGAACCCCCTAATCCACCATCTGAGATGGCGAGTAATCGCGGGTTCTTCCTTTAAGAATGGAGCTCATATAATACGTGATCCAGTAGTGAAGAAAAAAGCAGAAAAAAATCATGGAAAATGCCCTAAACAGAACCCTATGCTGGCCAGGTGGGCGGGCGGTCTCCCCTTCGCAACATCCTCCACCCTTGTCGACAGAGCTACAATATCTAAGGACGGCGTAGGAACATCAAATGAACGCGGGCGCTGCCTTCAAGACAAAAGACTTGCCCAAGTCCACAAAAAATCTGAACGCCGCCCCCATATAAAAACATTTGTCAAAGTATATGCTCTCTCGGAAATATTGGGATGTATTTCTTGAGCAATCCGAGAACGGCACAATTCTTTATTCGCCCATCGTTTCAGCAGCAGTGTGTTCTTCCGTACCTGGGAATCGAAAGTTCTCTTTTGTATTTTTTTGAAATGATGTTCAGGGATGTTTTCTCGAAAATACGGTTCTATCTACAGGCCCCGACGAAAGCAGTGCTGCCAGAACGTTAGCCGGATAACGATCTGTACCAATCTGCGGTTACTCGAGTACACTTCTCAATAGTACTGTCGCCGTTGAGATTAATGGACGGTCGCTCATGGGATGTCCTTCGGAAACCGTTTAAGGTCCCGAATGCACAAGACTCTTGGAAAAGGAAGAATGTCAACCAGTGCCAAATAAAGGCGGAGGTGGAACGCTTACCACGCGCACGGTTCGAGGATCAGGGCTAACCTTCTCACCTCCCGGGACGCCAGATTGATCTCAGCTTCGTCTGGGAGTAGGAATACTGACTTGGCTGACCAAAGTCATTGTATAGGTCACATCGCATTCAATAAGCCACTACGATTCAGAATGGAAGTTGCATGCGTGCCGCACAAAGGATTGATCAGCTTCGAAAACTTTATCCCTTATTTATGTTCTAACTGTTCGGCTTTGGAGGAAGGCAATAGTGCCCAAATGTCAGTCGGATACGTTTTGTTCAGGCCTCCGACTGCAGTTTTCGGTATTACTGCTGCCGGGCCGAAAATTCGCGATTGGGCGCTTATGTATACTCGAGAATCCCTGAGATCGGGTAGGCGTGGCCGCATGTTTCAACTTAACCTGAAGGTGTCTATGCTTCTGGTGAGATATTTTCATCTTGACACAATTGTTGTCGTGTCTCTGTCCAACACAGAACAAGATGACAGTTGTCCCAGACTGGAATATTCCACGAGTAACCAGTTCCGTGCCATGTTCAAATGCCACGCCTACTCTGGCTCAGGGATAAGGAGTGTATGTACTGTCTTCTGAAAACAGTTTCCCATGTCCAGAATGCGCACGACTCCGGTAAAAAGGGAAACACACGGACTAAGCTAAGGTTTATTATATGAATAAGGGCCGGGAAAAACTTACACAACTTTCATTGTAAACGAAACAAGTCCGAAAAAATTTTCGTCAACTCACCAACCGTCATTTGTTCCCTGAAGAGGTGAAGAGCAGGACCTCGTCCAACAGTGGGAGGTAGAAGCTTCGGAAGGCACTGTCGAGAGAGTCATGTTGAGTGACGCCCTCTACGCAGCCTGATACAGATGTAATTTCTAACTTTCAAAGAAGTAGCCCTAGTGAGAAGTTTGAAGGAGTGTTTGCTCGTAAATACAGTTTTGTATGTCCTACTCATATGAGCACAAAAGAAAACGTAGGACAGTAATTGATACCGTACCAAGAGTTGTCTCCTGAGCTACTCTTCTGAGTAAACGGGGGTTGTGAAAGATGTAGCTTCCATACCATCTCCACTCCTCTCATCCGGTTCTATCCATGGTTTAGCAGATCAACGAGTTGTTCCAGTCACTCAAAAATCTTGAAAAAGTAGTTTCAAAACGCCCACGCTTCTAAACGCACCAAGTCAAAGCAGGAGGAATTGTGGGTGCAGGCTAAGGAGGAGGACGATTTCGAGTTCGACACAACACTCAAAGGGATATTTTCTAATATGAAATGCAAAATCTAGTAGAACAAATGCAATGAATTCGGAGAATATTAAGCTGAATGTACGCTTCACTGAAAGGTTTTTCGAAGGAATGTCTCACTGAGGTGGCATGTTGGTTGGTACCCGTAGCAGAACTGCCCAGAAACTGAATTAGTCGTGTTAGCGTGATTAGAGCGAGAGAATCTCTCCGCCTGCGCTAAGCAGTGTGGAGACGTTTGTGTAAGGCCAATGCGTATAAGTTTTACAAAAAGATCGAAACAGGTGAATATGCTGTAAAGAGATGGCGTACCTTTCTAAGTTTGGAAAATAGGAGAATTCCGCTCTTGGAGGAAACTTCTTCTGGAGAAGCTTGCACGGAGGAGAATCGATGCTGCTTCAAGAACTGAACTGGGAACATTCATTTTGGAGTATCAACAGTGAGGCGACGTATTCCATCACTTTGGAAAGTTGCTAGGAATCTCCCCTCATAAGTCGTACAAAGTTGGACGCTTCCTTATCCTCACTGGAAAGAACTTACCAGTGGGAGGCCTTACTATTCAAGAGGTTAATTCCGTGATTATTGTCGGGCGGTGTCGCTTGGACCGCTACGCTTTTGTAACAGGTGCGCTTCTTCTCTTCACCATCTCATGAGGGTGGCTCATCATTAAGTGGCCCTCCCATTCCAAACGACTAGCCCACAGCGTGCCCTCAGTTGGGTTCGGTTGAAGACCTGCTCTCATTTGTATCTCCCAGCGCAGAAATAACAAGTAACGAGAAATGGGATCAAAAAGAAGAGCAGAGAGGAGGCGAAAACGAGTATAAAAGGCAAGAGGGGGACGAAATTCAGAAAATGCGCGAGAAAGCCGACGGAACATATTTCTGGGAGATCCTCTGATACGACTGCGAAAATAACTTGGAGGTACGAAGTGGTAAGTTTGAAACTAATTGCACAATCATACATAATACTAACTTCCCATAACTCTTAATCCTTGATAAGAAAAATTGTGCTCTCCCAGATTTTTCCCCCTTTTCTTAGGTCATACTAGAGAAACTCAAAAAGAAGCGAATCACTCTCTCAATAGACTAGCTCAAGTCAATCAACTGGATCACCTACATGTGAATTCACACAACCCGTGAGCGTAAGTGGGTGTGAGGAGATGTGTGTGAATGAAGCCTGACTAAGGTGGCTCTCTTGAAACCTCAAGCTGAGGACAATTGGGTTGCTACACTCAACTAATTTGAAAGGTAACCCAGTTTATATACACAAAACTGCGAGTATAGGCCCATGTTCAGAACTCTTTGTCCCAAATCTGTGCCCTTTTGTCCTAGCGGATTTCAACTCACAGAATGGTACCAATTTCTTTGGTTCGGTATAGCGCCTAATGTACCGATCTATGAACTTCATGGGATTCCTTCACCATGTTAGTTTATCGGGAATATGGCGCCTTCTTGTAGTGAATTATTAATGATTTGATTTATGCTTGGTTTCTGTCATTAACTAGTCAAGTAATTAAGTAATCAACTGACGGTCATAATAAAAAGCATGCTCTCTCAATAGCGTGCTCATGGTATTCCTCCTGCATTGCAATCCTAACAGAAAGCACAAACAAGAGAGAACTTAATGTCGCGACTGAATGTTAGGGATCGTGAAGGGCTCGGCGACGTCTCCAATCGCAGTTTCACCCATGCCGGGTTCTGTTTTTTTTCCAATTACCTGGGATTACAATCTTGGTCATCGATCTAAACTTAGCTAAAACTCTATTTTCAACTATTTTCGTGTCATTGAAATTCTTCTGCATTAGGCCAAAATGTGCCACTATCTGCCTAGTGGTAGGCGTGTATGTATTCGCAATTGCCGAAAAACCGAATTGCTTTTATGCGCAAGACAAGGTTATGCGACAGCAGCCGTCCCTATAAATGGCATAGCACCCCATCGGAAAGCAGAACGTCGGCATGGATTCTGAGTGGCAACATCGATGCAAAGCCTACCGCTTTGTGGCCTACTCGGCTGTCGCCTTCTCGGTGGTCGCCATCCTTGGTGCTGCCACCACCCTCCCCATGGTGTACAATTATGTACACCATGTACGCCGTACGATGCACTCTGAGCTCAACTACTGCCGGGTATGACTCTTTAAAGCTCTTGTTTGGTCGATTCTCTTTTTTATATAGCTGATTAATTACTGTTTAGACGTCGGCCCGTGATATCTGGTCCGAGGTTAACACCATGAAGACCACTGGCAATCGTACCGCCCGTCAGGCTGGATACGATTCTGGCGATAGTGGTGTGATAGGAGGTGGCAACACTGGAAACACCGGCGGCGGAAACGACTGTACCGCTTGCTGCTCCGGTGGAGGTGCCGGACCAGCTGGACAGCCAGGAAACCCTGGACGACCAGGAAACCCCGGAGCTCCTGGAGCCCCAGGAAACCCAGGAAGACAAACTACTCAACCATGCCCCGTGTACACACCTGCTCCATGCAACCCTTGCCCAGCTGGACCACCTGGACCACCAGGAGCCCCTGGACAGCCCGGAGATCCTGGACGCGACGGAAACCCAGGAGGACCCGGAAACCCAGGAGGACCAGGAACACCCGGACCAAAGGGACCACCAGGACCCAGCGGAAACCCAGGAAGCCCAGGAGCTCCAGGACAGCCTGGACAGCCCGCCAATTCCATTCCAGCCACCCCCGGAGCCCCTGGACCTGCTGGACCTCCCGGACCTGCAGGACCACCTGGACCCAACGGACAGCCCGGAAATCCAGGAGCACCAGGTATATTTCAGATTGCGTGACGGATTTTGTTTAGTTACTTCGTTTTCCATACTATTTACATTCCAGGAAACCCTGGACCCAAGGGACCACCTGGAAGCGATGGTCAGCCTGGAAACGACGGAAACCCAGGAACCCCAGGAAACAGAGGTACCCCAGGAACCCCTGGAGAACGTGGAATCTGTCCCAAATATTGCGCTCTCGACGGAGGTGTCTTCTTCGAGGACGGAACTCGCCGCTAAATCTCAATTTGCATCGAATAGAAAAGGATATAGTAATAAATTTTTCTACAAAAAGCAGTCTATACATTCTTGTCGACATGAAAACTTTTTTCAGATGGTTCCATATGCAAAATGGCAATTTTCGCCTAAAAACTGGTGTTGGGTACGAAGCAAATGACGTAAAGCGAAAGAGTAATGCGATGATTTCTATGGAAAAACCACAGAGTTCAAATGAGTGCGAACAAATGATAGCACTTGTTTCAAGGTATTGCCCCCATCCTTATCTTCTAAGAATCGAGCTGTGAGAGGACTGGAGAACACGGGAAAAGAGTTAGGCAGTTCTAGAATGTGCCAACTATTCTTCTTTACAGTTGAGAGCCATTTGCCATCCTCCGAGCCCCAAGGTTAAGTTTCTGTGTTGTTGAAGTTTTACGAAAAATTCGTTAAGAGTAACCCACATTGACAACTGGTGCCCACAATTGAGAATTGGTCATGCGGATGAAGGTAATGGAATTAGCCGATGCCTCCCATTACTGCGAACTCGTGCATCTAATTGTAAGAATATGCAGCTGTTCACTAGGAAGATACAAAACCTGACCCTCGCGGCTTTACCGCAGTTGCTTTAAGACACTTCCGAGACGCGTGACTTTTCCAACCGATGCAACCGCGTACTGTAACTCTGTAAGACCCTACGGCTAGGGAGGGTTTGTGCTCGTTTCCAGAGTTCTTCTCGCTATCTTCTCTATTGATGAGTTTTTGATGGGCTACTGGTTCATGACTGAGCAGCTGCTTGCTAATTGCTACACTTGATCGCGGGAAATGTCTTTGAGCTCTAATGCAATATGTACCATGAAATAAGCCAACTCGATAATTAAGGCTACCTCAACCCGTGGGAGCCAGCTTGTTTTTATCATAAGGTTCCGAAGAAAGGAATACTGATTAGTGCCCTGTGAGTTGGCTTAGAGACATATTCCTCAATCACTTATACTACGTGATCACTAAAACTTACATTACTTATCAAGAGAATGTGGGTACAGCAGTGTGGTCCGCAGTGTACAACCTTGCTCAAGTTTCGCATAAGGAATTAGTGAGACAGGAGCTTTAAGGTGAAATTTTGTGACTGGGCCGTCAGAGACTCCGCCCACATGCTTTCACTCTTATTTGTCGTCTTGCTTGAGCGACGCTGATGGGACTCACTCAGTTTTGGCTGCCACGGTATTTATGAAGTGTTGTGGCCATAGTTACGTATAACTCTCGTGACTTCATTTCCCACCTCTCTAGGCTAAGGCTGAGCCTGCTAGAAGGAATGATTTGCCTTCAGGCTAGGCTCAGCCTTAGCGGAGCGCAGATGATCGTAGCGCCCTCTATTAGCGCCGTAGCCAAGAATGAATGTAATGAGGATGCAAATAACTCCTGAAGACAAGTTTTCAGCGAATTTGGTTTAGGCACTTCAAAAATGACGCGCAGCCAAAACTGAGCGAGTCTAAACGACATTGCTCGTCTTGCTTGTCTGCATGCTCTCTCGCCGCTCTTGTTTGTTCTTTCACCGAGAATCTCGACAGGACTTCGCCTTTGGAAAAAGATTGCCTTATTTGTAAGTGACGATGTCTGACGATGACTTCTGCTTTTTGCTTCGCGGCCAAGAAACCTAGCTCATACGGACCTTTTTGGATCCCGGTACCTACGTTTTCCGACAACTTAGCGCGAAATCTTCTCTGAGGTCTAGGACCGCGGCAAAGACTGAATCAAAGGTGTGTATGAAAATTAATATTTGGTAGCAAAGATCTACTGTTAGCACTGATTCTCGAAGTGAAGCCAAAGCTTCCCAACATTGTGCTGTCCCGGAGCCTCAGAGTATTGAACGTTGTGAAAAACACAAACAGGCTCCCAAAACTTCCACCGCACCCAACCAGAAGGAGAAATGGGAAGCCTCTGGTATAATTGGGATATTTGAGTGCATAGCACCTCTTCATGGACCGGAAATACGTCTAACAGTAGCGCTAGTTTGAAAGGTTGTTGACTCAGGGGTACGTTATGAGATTGCTAGACCCAAATATGTATTTCAGACTGTTTGACTACGAAACCTCTGGGAAGCATACCGAGAAGCACGGACACTGTGTAGAAGAGGCCGAGAAGGCGCAGTAACTGAGTCACCTCTTGTGAGTTTAGCAAGAAGTGAGGCGCAGCACATGGGGCAACGCCCGGAGCTTAGATTTCTGATACCTGGATCGAGCAGTTTGCTTGCTCGATCTTGTGAATCATTTGGCCCTTGAGGTTTCCTTTACGGCAGCACATCCCAGAGTAATTGAACCACGTGACGTATACCTCCAACTGGGGGCCTTCTTTTTAGTCCATTTCTCTGCACAGCTCCTGCGTTTCCCTACTGTGGTGGTGTAAATATTATGTCTAACCTTGAGTAAGTTAGATACAAGCTCTACATTCACCCTCCTATATCTTGATCATGCCATGTGCGGGGCCTATAGCTACTCGCGTATCACTTTGTCCATTCAAAAAAGCACTCAAACGAGTCTGCACGGTAGTGTTCCTTGATTGCCGTTTGAAACAGCTCGCGCTGCCTCACTGCACTACCTCTGATTGTTCCCTACCTCTGACAGCGAGTTTGCTGTAGGACCTTGGTAGGGGCAAACGCTGGACCTTAAGGATAATGCGGGTGGAGTCTAAAACTGCACCCATGCTCTTCGTCGCATTCTCTCGCGCTATCAAGTGTCGCAAGGGTTACAGATCCTGTCTTGTAATTTTTGTTTGAATTACAAGAGATAATGGATGGAGGTCTGAAGTCATTTTCTGAACTGGGCGCGTACTAGTTTTCTCTCAGACCGTGGAAAAGTCTGCAGCACCTCTTCGAGATTACCCATCAGGGAGTGGTAAGGTGTAACAGGTAGAGCTGAGCAGTAAGTAATGATAGAAAGAATACGCATGGTCTCTGTCAAAAGACAATTCCAACTATCATTAAGTGAGCGTACCCCATTGACGACCTTTTCCTACTTTTCACCATAACGATATTAAGGATAGTGCTTTTCACTCAATCTCCTAGAGTTTACTCTTTTTACATGAATTGAGGTTCTAACTGACGCTGATGAAATCAAGAGCCTTTCATCGAAACTTCCGATGTTTTTTTTCCTCCCACCCTGTAGAGGCGACTTTTAAACTCTTCTGAAGCTCTTTCTGGTTGTTATTTCTGGAAGTCTCCACAGAATGAACAGTTATTCATTGTGGCTTAGTTTGCCGTATGGATGTTGAGAGCGAACAGAGACTTGGCTTACCGTCCTCCTGTCAAGCGAACGTGATCATCACAGTACTCATCAATACTTTTCTCTGTCGTGCTCAGAGCCCTCACCGACATTCTTGTGCCTTCGCATCTGCGCCCTTTGTGAAACGGTTAAGGAGTTGAAGATTATGGTGTGTTTGGGATTAATCACCCCTACGAAAAACCCCATGAAATTTTCTAGGAACTAAATACTACAATGACCTCCTTTTGTGTGAAGTATGTTTATTCTTTTGAAGGAATTGCTGATAGTAGCTCTTCCAGAATGCCTCCTTTGCCCTATGGCGGCCCCGATTGTGAGGACCTTACCTAAATGGATGCTGATATTTTGGATTTTTTTCCTGAGTTTCCTTCAGTCTTTGCAATGCACACAGGTCCACTGATTTAGAACGTACTTTATCGACAATTCTAGAAGAGACTGAGCATTTAGCGGCGAGTTCCGTCCTCGAAGAAGACACCTCCGTCGAGAGCGCAATATTTGGGACAGATTCCTCGTTCTCCAGGGGTTCCTGGGGTACCTCTGTTTCCAGGGGTTCCTGGGTTTCCGTCGTTTCCAGGCTGACCATCGCCTCCAGGTGGTCCCTTGGGTCCAGGATTTCCTAAAATATGAATGAATTAGTGAGGTGAGCAGAATTTTACGAATAATTTGAAATATACCTGGTGATCCTGGATTTCCGGGCTGTCCGTTGGGTCCAGGTGGTCCTGCAGGTCCGGGAGGTCCAGCAGGTCCAGGAGCTCCGGGGGTGGCTGGAATGGAATTGGCGGGCTGTCCAGGCTGTCCTGGGGATCCTGGGCTTCCAGGGTTTCCGCTTTGTCCTGGTGGTCCCTTTGGTCCGGGTGTTCCTGGTCCTCCTGGGTTTCCGGGTCCTCCTGGGTTTCCGTCGCGTCCAGGATCTCCGGGCTGTCCAGGGGCTCCTGGTGGTCCAGGTGGTCCAGCTGGGCAAGGGTTGCATGGAGCAGGTGTGTACACGGGGCATGGTTGAGTAGTTTGTCTTCCTGGGTTTCCTGGGGCTCCAGGAGCTCCGGGGTTTCCTGGTCGTCCAGGGTTTCCTGGCTGTCCAGCTGGTCCGGCACCTCCACCGG